ACTCGCCATAGTGAAAACTTAAATATTCACTTCCAGCTTTTTCGCTCTGCAGCACTCATATAATAAATATATATCGATATAAAAAAATAATTTTTTTTCTTTTAATTCTATCATTTATTATCGACAAAATTAAGGTTCCGAGTAGAAATGATGTACTTTATTTTACAATTTTAAAGCTGCGTATGCTAATTTTTAATTATAGGAATTTGAAAGTGACGTATAACACATTTGAGTCATTCGAGTATACTTAATTATACACTTTAGTGCAAAAAGTGAATATGTACGTACATATGTACCTATTTAGCAAAAATGTTACATCAAACTACCATTGTAATTTATCTCCATAGATTTACAAAGTAAACTCAAGTTTAACGACTAACGCTAAGCCATGCCATACGAATTTAGACTAAGAAGGACAAAAAATTACTATTACGTAATAGTATATGTGTTTGTAAATCAGGTTAATCACGTTTGAATGAATTTTAATCAGGTTAATTAAATGGATTAAGCAAATTCACCCCGAAAGCTATTTTCCCCCTCTAACCAGCGTTAACTATACAATAATTCCCGTTTATAGAGTAAAAAATTTTAAATTTTTACTTTAAAATGTCATATAAGCAAATAGTTTATGAAGAAGCTAATTCTTTAAACAAAGATGCTTCTTACGATGCTTATGAGTCTCAGGATTTTAAAAATAAAAAAATTATTGATGATTTATGTAAATTACATGAAGAAGAAGTATTGAAAGGAAATTCTGACTTGGAAATCCTTAATTCAATAGAACAGTATTTGGAAAATAATCAATTGAAGCCAGTGGATCTAATTAATTTGTGCTTAAATAGCCAAGATAATTCAATAATTCTAATGTTTCTCGCATGCTGTTATCGTTATGGAAAGTGGGTTGAAAAGGATGAACATAAATCGTTCATTTACTGTCAGAAATCTGCTAATATGGGAAATTCTTATGGAATGAACGATCTTGGTGAATGTTATGAAGATGGAATTGGTGTTGATAAAGATGTGCACAAAGCATTCTTTTATTATCAAAAGTCAGCAGAGATGGGACATACTAAAGGAATAAATAGTATTTGCAAATGCTATCTAAAAGGAATTGGAGTCGAAAAGGATGAGCATAAGGCGTTCATTTATTATCAAAAATCTGCAGAGATGGGGAACGCTAATGGGATATTTCGAGTTGGATATTGTTATCGAAATGGAATTGGAGTTGAAATGGATGAATATAAGACGTTTACTTATTTCCAAAATTCTGCCGAAATGGGACACGCACTGGAATAAATAATGCTGGATATTGTTATCAAAAAGGAAATGGAGTTGAAAAGAATGAACATAAGGCATTCACTTATTATCAAAAATCTGCTGATATGAATAATGCCACTGCCATCTATAACGTTGGCTATTGTTATCATAAAGGAATTGGAGTTGAGAAGGATAATAATAAAGCGTTCAAATATTATAAAAAATATTATCGTGCATGTTCTGTTATTAAAGTGGATGATAAAATCGATGAGGTTGAAGGATTATATGTACGATCTCCACGTTATTTTCCTTTGAGTTTAGTAGTGAAACTGGGTATATTTGTTAATGTATTACACCTGAAGATTATGTAAACCTTGATTTTTTATTCGATTGGGGTGGCGATTATGCTATACATCAAATACTTACAATAATTTTCTGTTGCTTATTCTTTATTTTATTGTTTATTATTGCTTTACCTTTATATGTTTTGTTGGTTATTATTTTTGCAATCATTTTTTATTTATATTATATCATTTTCAAATTTAATCAAATTTTCTTTCAATCATTCATTACTATGACTATTGCTACTCTAACTTTTTTCATTACGATATTCGTTAGCCCAACATTCGATGCTTTAAATTTAGCTTCTTATTTATTATATTTAAGTATTGTCACACAAGTTATCATATCCAAAGAACTTACTTATCTGTTACTACCATTTCTTAGTTTATATATCTTGTTATTATATGGACGATATTCTCTCAACGTTACTAACTTGAGTAGTTTGTTTGAACAACATCAAAGTTATTTATTTTTGTTATTTATAACTATTATACTTTCTCAATTCGTAAACATCATATTTTGCACTACCCCAATAACATTATTTATAACATTCCAACCTTTATTCAAACCTCTTCATAAAATCGAAATTTTCGAAAAAATGGCAATTAGCTTTCCTGGTATTTTTCAACATTTTATTATTATATTTTTATCACGTGGCCTTTCTGTTTGTGA